CCTTTATTCCCTTCCACTCTGCACACTCCTTCCCACCCACATTCCCCCCTTTAGTTCATGTCCATGGGTCACACATATAAGTTCTTTGGCTTCTACATTTCCTATACTATTCTTAACCACCCTGTCTATTTTCTACCTACCATCTATGCTACTTATTCTCTGTACCTTTTCCCCCTCTCTCCTCCTCCCACTCCCCTGTTGCTAACCCTCCATGTGATCTCCATTTCTGTGGGTCTGTTCCTGTTCTAGTTGTTTGCTTATTTTGTTTTTGTTTTTGTTTTAGGATCGGTTGTTAGTAACTGTGAGTTTGTTGTCATTTTACTGCTCAAATTTTTGGTCTTCTTTTTCTTAGATAAGTTCCTTTAACATTTCATATAATAAGGGCTTGGTGGTGATAAACTCCTTTAACTTGACCTTATCTGGGAAGCACTTTATCTGCCTTTCCATTCTAAATGATAGCTTTGCTGAATAGCGTCATCTTGGATGTAGGTCCTTGCCTTTCATGTCTTGGAATACTTCTTTCAGCCCCTTCTTGCCTGTAAGGTCTCTCTTGAGAAATCAGCTGACAGTCTTATGGGCACTCCTTTGTAGGTAACTGTCTCCTTTTCTCTTGCTGCTTTTAAGATTCTCTCCTTCTCTTTAATCTTGGTTAATGTAATTATGATGTGTGTTGGTGTGTTCCTCCTTGGGTCCAACTTGTTTGGGACTCTCTGAGCTTCCTGGACTTCCTGGAAGTCTGTTTCCTTTGCCTGCTGGCAAAGGAAAGGGGAAGTTCTCTTTCATTATTTGTTCAGATAAGTTTTCAATTTCTTGCTCTTCCTCTTCTCCTTCTGGTACCCCTATGATTTGGTTATTGGAACATTTATAGATGTCCTGGAGGTTCCTGAGCCTCTCCTCATTTTTTTTTTGAATTCTTGTCTCTTCATTCTGTTCTGGTTGAATGTTTCTTCCTTCTGGTCCACACCATTGATTTGAGTCCCAGTTTCCTTCCCGCCACTATTGGTTCCCTGTACATTTTCCTTTATTTCACTTAGCATAGCCTTCATTTTTTCATCTAATTTGTGACCATATTCGACCAATTCTGTGAGCATCCTGATCACCAGTGTTTTGAACTGTGCGTCTGATAGGTTGGCTATCTCTTCATTGGTCAGTTGTATTTGCTCTGGAGCTTTGATTTGTTCTTTCATTTGGGCCAATTTTTTGCGGGGGGAGGGGGGTCTGGGTGTGCCTGTTAGATAGCAAGGGGTTGGAGCCTTAGGTGTTCACCAGGGTGGGGCAACCCGTGTGGTTTTGTTAGGATGCTGTGTGTGGGGGAGGGGTCTGAGGGAACAATGGCGCTTGCTCCTCCCTCTCTCTGCCAGATTTCAGTCACTTCCCCCACTACCCACAAGTGAATTGGGCTCGTCTGGTGCTGATTCCCAGATGGATGGGCTTTTGTACATTCTAGGACCCTGTGGATCTCTCCAATGAGCCCTCCTGTGAGGCTGGGAGTTTCTCCTGCTGTCCCCTCAACCCCCACAGGTGTTTTCAATCAGAGGTTTGAGGCTTTATTTCCTTGCACTGGAACCCTGGGTAGTGTGGTCTGTATCACTCCCCAGTTGTTCCTCCCAGTTTATCTACAGGCGAAGGTGGGACTGCCCAGTCTGCAATCCGCTGACTTGCTGGGAGTCCTCTACTCTTCCAGGCTGCCCATCTCCACCCCTACTACCGGTCTGGATGAATGTTTCTCCTTTAACTCCTTGGTTGTTGGACTTTTCATACAGTTCGATTTTCTGTTGGTTCTGGTTGTTTTTTGTTTTTAAATTTCCTGTTGTCCATTTTTTGGTTGTGGGAGGAGGCACAGTGTGTCTAACTACACCTCCATCTTGGCCGGAAGTCCCATGGGTGAGTTTTGAACTAGATGATCCTTAGAACAATGCTATGAAGCAGGTACTGTTTTCACCATCATTTTACAGATTAGAAAACTGAGGCTTGGAGAGGCTAAACAACTTACCCCAAATCACAAACCTGGGAAGTGGCTGAGTCTGAGTTTAACCATCTACATTATATGGTTATTTTATGGGTCTATGTCTTTTCCCAGAAACTGGACCAGCTTTCCCAGGATCTTGAAATAAATATATGGGAGTGGACAGGGTGAAACAGGTCAGCATCTGCAATGGTGTGGGCAGCCTTCTGCAGACATGCTTTCTGAAATCTCCACACATGGGGTTGATGGGGGTAGTCTCCTTTGGGTACTGTGGCCTGGGTAGTTGTGCTGGATAAGGGAAGGATTAGACCCATTTCCTGTGCTTGAGTTCCTCTTAGTTCGGCTGTAGCCAGGCACACAAACAGAAAGGTACAGTATAAAGGGAGGCCTGATCTCTCAGAGGGCCTGAAGAGACTGGGGAGCATCCAGGAAGTCTGAGAAAACTTTTTGTCAGAGGGGCCTTTTGAACTGAGTTTTGTAATGAAGAAAGAGAAGGGAGGACATTTATTGAAGGCAAAAGGACCAGCTTGGGCAAACGACGGGGAGAGCAAAGACTGAAGAGAACAGGGGAGGAGATGTGATGGAAAGGGACCCATGGTTGGGAGGAGGGTTAAGCCTGGAGATGTCATTCAAATTTTAAGTTTTTGAAAGGTCTTTTGGCCAACAGAATGGAAATGCACTAAAAGGGGAAATGGAAGGAAGGGAGACCACTGAGGTAGTTGCTAAGGTGGTTCAGATAAGAGATGATGATGATTAATTTGAGAGACATTCAGGAGGCATAGGTGCTATGCATAAACTGGATCTTGGGAATAATGCAAAGATGAAGAGACCTTGAAGATGCCACTTAGGTTTTTGGCCTAGTGACTAAGTAGTGCCATAAATGGGCATAGGATATTACAGAAGGAGAAGTAAATTTACAGTATACTGAACATACCGATGACTACTTACTGAGCCCTTAGGAGATGCTGAGTACCACACCAAGTACTTTATACACAATAGGTGACTTAGTACTCAGAACAACCCCAGAGAGTGGGTGCTCCTATTGTCTTTTTATTTTTTAAAGAATTTATTTATTTATTTTTAGAGAGAGGGGAAGAAAGATAGAGAGGGAGAGAAACATTATGTGTGGCTGCCTCCCATGCACCCCCTACTGGGGACATGGCTTGCAATCCAGGCACGTGCCCTGACTGGGAATCCAACTGGCAACCCTTTGGTTGGTAGGCCGACACTCAATCCACTGACCCACACCAGCCAGGGCTATTATTGTCTTTTTTTAAAAAAGATTTTATTTATTTATTTATTTTTAGAGTGGGAAGGGAGGGAGATAGAGAGAGAGAGAGAAACATCAATGTGCAGTTGCTGGGGGTCATGGCCTGCAACCCAGGCATGTACCCTGACTGGGAATTGAACCTGCGACACTTTGGTTGGCAGCCCGTGCTCAATCCACTGAGCTACGCCAGCCAGGGCTATTATTGTCTTTTAAAAAACATAAATAGCTTGCCTGAGATTCCCAGGCAGCAGAGTCAGGATTTGAACCCATGCCTATCTGATTCCTAAGTCTTGAGCCCCACTCGTTTCTGCCTGATGGGACTGCTAGCTATCACTAGGTACTTAGCTCAAGGGCAGGTTCCTCTGTGGAGCCTTCCCTAATCCTTTCTGGACTCCTGTGCCACATGTGCATACTTCTGTTGACACACTTCTCACATTGTATTGACATTTTAAAGACCAGTCTGCTTGCCTGTCAGTCATAGAATTGAGAGCAGAGATGGTCCGAGTCACTTTTTCCATCCCTGTGATGCCTAACACATGTTAACTGGTTGACTGAATGCTGGTTATTCTAGGTAATTCTGTTCCCTTCTCCTCTCTACCTGTTCAGTTGGTGAACAAGTTCTGCTAATGACAGTTTCCTGAATATTTCTTTAGACTGTTCCTTTTTCTCTATTTCCACGGCCAGAGCTTAGCATTGAGCTCTTTGAGATTACAGAGGAAGGGTAATAATGCAGTTCAGGAGACTTCTACAGTGGTATTCCTAAAGCTTGAAAAAATGAGCCAGAGATACTTGGTAAAGAAGGGTGGGAAGGGCACTCCAGGTGGATGAAAAAGCATAAATAAAGGTACAGAGATGTGAACGATTTGGTCTGCATGGAGGAATAGGAGTATTTAGTGTGTGTTACTAATGATAAGATAAATATTCCTGGTGGAGACTAATGGAATAAGAGTGGAAAGGCAGGGCTAGGTGGGAGCATTATGGAGCCTGAGCTTTGGTGTTTGTTTGTTTGTTTTTTCTATATGCAACAACATAGATGACTGAACAGGGAGCCGCACAGACACAGAAGGAGGGAATACTTGTACCTGAAGGGTCAGGTAAAACTTAGGTTTCACTGTACTACTGTATTATTTCTGTTATTTGTAGACTAACAATAGTATCATTTATTTTTTCTTCTTGCTCTGTACCTGGTATAGCACTTTACATGCAATAATCTTATCTAACTCTCACAACATCCTGTGAAATAGGTGTTATTACCTTTATAAGAGGGAAAGGAGGCTAAAACAAATTAATACTGTTCCCAAGGTCACAGTTAGAAAGCTAGCCCAGATCCGAAGAGTTCTTAAGCACTAGTCTATATTCTGCTACCGAGAGCTACTTGAGGTCAGGGTTCATGCGTGTGTGTGTGTGCGCGTGTGTTTGGACCTTGGTCTTAGAAGACGCCTAGTGAACATCAGTTGAATAAATGAATGGATGACCTTTTACTTTCTTCACTGGAAAAGCACGTGATTAGTCACTGAAAAACCTCCTAACCCCCAGGGGGCGTATGTCCAACTCAGGGCAGTGGGAGTCTGTTGTGGACGCCTAGCTTGCTCAGTCCTCGGACTGGAGTTCAGCCAATCCCTGCGCTCTGATAGAGCTGGCGTTCGGTGGGCGGGGTCCCGCGCGAGGCCCCGTGGGCCACTGGGAAGGGCGGCAAAGGTGTTCCTGGCCAGCAGACAGAGGGCGGGGGCTGGCCGGTAGAGTGCGGCTGCGGCTCAGGTGAGCACGCCCGTCTCAGCCAACAGTTCCGTTCTCCAGGGCGGCTGCCGCGGCCCGTTAGCCCGTTGTCCTGGCGATGGCTGCTGGCCTTGACCTCTGAGTTACTGGCCTGATGGCTCCCACTCTTACCGAGGCTCGCGGGTCGAGTCTGGCCACCCAGCTGGCCTTCTGTGGCCACGGCTTCTAGGCCTCAGGCACGTGGGTGAGGAAGGACACTGCCGACAAGGCCATGACCGTGGTGGGATAGGGGCTGGGGACAGGGAGCCCGGTGGAGGGAGACGAACAGACACTTGGACCCTAACCTCACTTGCACTCGCTTCCCTGAACCGGGCTAGAGTGACGGTCGGTATTAATCTTCCGCCCTTTTAGGTCACCTCTGCCTTTGTTGGCAATTCTCAAATCTCAGACTGCGGATTTGAGTCTCATTGGGCCTCCGGGACCCCGGAACAAGGCAGGTTTGCGGCAGCCCAGTTGACCTTTACCGGGCGCTCAGGCTCCCTTTAAGCTCGGCTGGAAATAGGTGTCAGAGTATTTACGAGACACTTTTGCCTCTTTAATGTCACTACCCTGGAGATGACTTGTTAGAGCATCTAGCTTCTTGTAATCAGCAAAGGCCCCTGCTGTGTCTCTGCTACCTTTTGAAGGCGGGTGGGTGGATGACTGCTGTGGTATTACATTAGTGTGTTGCTTGAACTGTCGTTCTTTCATTCAACACATTTTTTGGAGCATTTTATGCCAGGCCAGGTGGGAGGGATGGAGGAATGGATGGGACACAATGGACCACAGACTCATCCTTACCCTGTTGGAATGCAGACAAGTAAGGTGGGCCAGCACATTGCATGACACAGAGGGAGTTGTGTTAAATAAATAAATTAATTGACTTACTTGTAAATGACTAGAATGTGAGTAGGAGGACAGAGAGACCTTGTGCTACATGTGATAGGTAATAGTTGTGGACTTTGATAGTATTTTAAGGAAAATTGGAAATCTGAATGGAGAGTTGCTGTTTAGGGAAAGTGTTTACTTAGAACTCGCTCAAAAGGTGGGAGGAGGATGAAGAAGTGTTAGGTTTGAGATTCTTCAGTAGTACCTCTTTTAACAACTCCTAATTTTATAATTGCACAAATCTCTGAGTGTAACCTTAGAGTTTGCAGAAAAGGGAGCTCTCCTAGGAAGTGAAATGCCAAGCTAATGGGGAAAAAAGCCGTAGAAGTTCTCCCCAAATTCAGGATTTGCACAGAAACCATACACCTTTTGGCAGTGCGTTCTTTCCACTGGAAAGAACATAGGGTTTGAAGTCAGAGGGCCTGGGTTCAAAATCAGTGGCTGTACTATTTCTAGTGATTTTGGGCACATTACCATCATGTCCCAGAGCCTTTGTGGCCTTAGACAGAAGTCTGGCTCTTACCTCATAGAGGTGTTGTGAGGATCAGCTGGTGACTGGGGTGTGAATTGTCTGGCCAAGTGCTTGGTGCCAAGATAGAGGACCCAGAGGGGAATCTTGGAGCTGCTGCAGTTTTTTCTCTGCTGATGGCCCATTATAGGCATAGGTCCACAGAATGTTGGGATTTCTCCAAAGAGAATTAGACCCAAAGAGAGAAAGGGAGAGAGTCATCCTAACTTTGGTGAGGTTTTGATTGTTCACTTGAGACCAGAGGTAGCAGGTGGGATGGAGGAATGGATGCAGAAATATCTATAGGAGCACAAACAGGATGGTCTTCTAGTCGAGACTCGGGCAAGTTACTTAATCCTCTGATAATGCCGTCCACCTCAGGAGGCGGATGTGAGAGAAAGGCTTCTTTCCCATTCTTGAAAAGTTGGCAAACTGTGGAGGGAAGGCGTGGGGTCAAGAACAGGGATGAAGCTTTATTAGGTAAGGCCTAGAGGTCCCCTCATAGGGACCTCTAGGCCATATGTGGTTGCATAATTGTCAAAAAGTATTGTACATGCAGGTAAAATGGAGAGTCTTCTCCCCTTCTCTAACAATTGAATCTTTTGAAATTTTCTAGATTGTTTTAGGGATCTAATTCTTGCTTAAAGCAAGGTACCCTCTTGCATTACTCTGCATGGGATGTATGCTCAGTAAATTGTGCCAGGCTGCCTGGTAAGTGGGGAGCCCTGGCAGGTGGTCCATGTGGTAGGGAGGGGGTGCTGGTGTCTCCCTAATGCTGCCTTGTGCTCTTCTGCAGATGTCATGTGGCCTGTGCTTTGGACCGTGGTGCGCACTTACGCTCCCTATGTCACATTTCCTGTGGCCTTCGTGGTTGGGGCTGTGGGCTACCACCTGGAATGGTTCATCAGGGGAAAGGATCCCCAGCCTGTGGAGGAGGAGAAGAGCATCTCCGAGCGTCGGGAGGAGCGCAAGTTGGATGAGCTGCTAGGCAAGGACCACACCCAGGTGGTGAGCCTTAAGGACAAGCTCGAATTTGCCCCTAAAGCTGTCCTAAACAGAAACCGCCCGGAGAAGAATTGATAGAAGACACGGGGCCATATAGGTCCTTCTGTAGGCTGTGACAGTCCTGCCACCATGTTGACTCAGCTCCAGAACCCACATCTGATTAGCTTTGTTGCTTATTCTGGCCCCTTCGGCACCACCCAGCCACACACAAACTGGCTGCTGTTCTGTGGTCAGGAAGACACACTGGCAGCTGAAGGGCCAGGTGAAGAGGAAGGCCCTGCAGGGGTCTGGCCTGCAGGCTGCATCTGTTGTATGCTGGCCACAACTGCCTGGGCTCCTGGGCTTCTGGGCGCACTGCTGGAAGTAGTGTTACGAAATGAACATTGGCTGTCTGTCTCTGCGGGGAGGCAGTTTGGCTTCAAGCAGAAGTGCATGGGATTGGGGTGTTGCCGTAGGAGAGACACCACACGTCTAGTTCCCGTTTGCATTGGAAGAATTCAGATATCTACCTGGCTCCCTTCACTCGTTTGCCCTGTCTTTTTGTGCTTGCTCTTTCTGAAACCCTGTCCTGCCAGCTCAGGGAGGGGGTTCCCTTGGGAAGGAGAGCACGTTACTGTTCTTGGCGGCCCAGGCTCTTCACCTCCAGGCAGGTGAATTTGCCCGAACATCACCATCGTTCACCTCCCATCACTGTGTAGCGCAAAACGTGATTAAAGTGGCATCTGAGAACCATAATAATCTAATCTGACCTTCCAGATGGTGTTTGGGGTCTTCTTAGGAGTTGTGCAAGTGCAGGCATTTCAGGGTAGGATAACACTGGCCCTTAACTAAGGACTCTGGGGGCCTGGGAGCTGTGTTTTACTAGTGTGGTTGCTCTAGCTCCTGGGGGTGGTGAGTTCTGGAGGTACAGGTTCCCGGGCACTTTTCTATCATGTTCAAGAGGCTTATTGCACCTTCAGAGTCTAAGAGGAGACCAGAGAGCTGAATAGCTGCTATCAAATTTTTTCAATTTCACAAACACAGTCACACTTCCCTGTAAAAGTAATGTATGTACCTTAGAGTATTTGCTGGGGATTTTTTGAAAGGGCTCTAATACAACACCCAGAGCTCTTTGTTTTTTTTACATGTATTTTATTGATTGTGCTATTACAGTTGTCCCATTTTCCCCACTTTATTCCCCTCCACCCTGCACACTCCCTCCCCACCCACATTCCCTCCTTTAGTGCATGTCCATGGGTCATACATATAAGTTCTTTGGCTTCTACATTTCCCATACTATTCTTAACCACCCCCTGTCTGTTTTCTACCTACCATTTATGCTACTTATTCCTTTTCCCCCTCTCTCCCCCTCCCCTGCTGATAACCCTCCATGTGATCTCCATTTCTGTGGGTCTGTTCCTGTTCTAGTTGTTTACTTATTTTATTTTGTTTTTGTTTTAGGATCGCTTGTTAATGACTGTGAGTTTGTTGTCATTTTACTGTTCATATTTTTGGTCTTCTTTTTCTTAGATAAGTTCCTTTAACATTTCATATAATAAGGGTTTGGTGATCATGAACTTCTTTAACTTGACCTTATCTGAGAAGCACTTTATCTGCCCTTCCATTCTAAATGAAAGCTCTGCTGAATAGCGTAATCTTGGGTCTAGGTCCTTGCCTTTCATGACTTGGAATACTTCTTTCAGCCCCTTCTTGCCTGTAAGGTCTCTTTTGAGAAATCAGCTGACAGTCTTATGGGCACTCCTTTGTAGGTAACTGTCTCCTTTTCTCTTGCTGCTTTTAAGATTCTCCTTCTCTTTAATCTTGGCTAATGTAATTATGATGTGTGTTGGTGTGTTCCTCCTTGGGTCCAACTTGTTTGGGACTCTCTGAGCTTCCTGGACTTCCTAGAAGTCTGTTTCCTTTGCCTGCTGGCAAAGGAAAGGGGAAGTTCTCCTTCATTATTTGTTCAGATAAGTTTTCAATTTCTTGCTCTTCCTCTTCTCCTTCTGGTACCCCTATGATTTGGTTATTGGAACATTTATAGATGTCCTGGAGGTTCCTGAGCCTCTCCTCATTTTTTTGAATTCTTGTCTCTTCATTCTGTTCTGGTTGAATGTTTCTTCCTTCTGGTCCACACCATTGATTTGAGTCCCAGTTTCCTCCCATCATGGCTGGTTCCCTGTGCATTTTCCTTTATTTCACTTAGCATAGCCTTCATTTTTTCATCTAATTTGTGACCATATTCAACCAATTCTGTGAGCATCCTGATTACCAGTGTTTTGAACTGTGCATCTGATAGGTTGGCTATCTCTTCATTGCTCAGTTGTATTTGCTCTGGAGCTTTGATCTGTTCTTCTGTTTGGGCCAATTTTTTTTTTTTGGTCTGGGTATGCCTGTTAGATAGTGAGGGGTGCAGCCTTAGGTGTTCACCAGGGCAGGGCAACCCATGTGGTTGCGTTGTGAGGCTGTGTGTGGGGGAGGGGTCTGAGAGGGAACAATGGTGCTTGCTCCTCTCTCTCTGCCGGTTTTCAGTCACTTCCCTCACTACCCACAAGCAAATTGGGCCCGTCTGGTGCTAATTCCTGTGTGGGTGGGCTTTTGTACATTCTAGGACCCTGTGAGTCTCTCCAATGAACTCTCCTGTGAGGCTAGGAGTTTCTCCTGTCTCAACCCCCACAGGTGTTTTCAGTCAGAGTTTTGAGGCTTTATTTTCCTGCGCTGGAACCCTGGGTTGAGTGATCTGTCTTGCTCCCCAGTTGTTCCTCCCATTTTATGTACACTCGAATGTGGGACTGCCCAATCCACAATCCACTGCCTTACTGGGTCTTCCAGCCACCTCCTTGCTGGCCAGCCGCTGCCTTGCCCGCCCTGGTCCTCCAGCTGCCGCCTTGCTGAGAGTCCTCTCTGCCTGGCTGCCCAACTCCGCCCCTCCTACTGGTCTGGATGAATGTTTCTTCTTTAACTCCTTGGTTGTCGGACTTCCATACAGTTCGGTTTTCTGTCAGTTCTGGTTGTTTTTTGTTTTTAAATTTGTTGTCTTTTGGTTGTGCGAGGAGGCATAGTGTGTCTACCTACGCCTCCATCTGGGCAGAAAGTCCCTCCAGCACTCTTAACACAATGAAAAAGCTACCATTCTGTTAAGCTTTTAACAATTTCCCTATTGGTGGTGGACATTCGGGTTATTTCTGGTTGCTCACCAGCATAAATAGTGCAGTGAGTATCTTATACGGTATAAGGCTTTTCCTGCAATTTGGACTAAGTGGTAGGAACAGGAAGTGGCATTTTGGGTGAAATGGCATGAGCAGTTTTAAGGGTCTCAACACATTGTACCAAATGCCTTACCTAAAGGGCTGTAGAAGTTGATACTAGAAGCTACCACTTAAGATGCTGCCGGTGAGGTTGAAGGGGAGTGAGAGCAGAGGGCAGGTAGAGGCAGAAGAACCCATTGCCTCATGAAGTCAACTGACTTGAACCTAAGTGAGCTTTTAAAGGCAAGTAATGCGCATTTGATGAAGGACAAACTGCTTTTGAAAAGGGAAAGGGTGCTTGCCTGCTTCCTATCTCAGGATCTGAGGCCTGATGGCATTAACAGGTGAGGAAGGTAGAAATCGTGAACAGGCTGAGAGACTAGCTGTGGAGTGGGGAGCTGGGAGGATGTGGGAGGTGGTGGCCAGAGCGGAGGAGGAGCAAGCAAGTCAGGTGGCCCAGGCATAGTGGGAATGTTGACGTGAGCTGCTGCTGCTGCTGCTGCTCCTCAGGGAGCAACTCTGATGGGGAGTATGGGGGAGGAGCGTCTGCTGCTGAAGCGAGGATGGGGTATTTGGTTCTGAAAGGATATGCCAAGCTGAGCTTGGTTACAGGCTCCAGCTGGTGGGCAGGCGTTGGCAGGCCAGTGCTGCCCTCCCGTGGCAGTCCTGAGCGTGACCAAGCCTGGATCCCTTCCCTGGGTTAAACCGGGGGTAGCCAACAGGGGTGCCTACAGGGGTCAGTCATGTGGCTGTAACGTTTGTGCCAGCCCGGGAACTGGGAAGCACAGGTCTGCCTAAAGGGGGCAGTCACTACTCAGCATCCTCCAGTTTCTGCTGCTGATTCCAGACTTTTTCAGATTTTTGTGCATGTGGTTGTGTGTGTATGTATGCAATCTTCTGATTTTTAAATGTAGACAATTCATTTAATTTGTTTTAATCCTTACCCAAGGATATGTTTCTATTTATTTTTTAATTTTTACAGAGAGAGAGGAAGGCGGGGGGAGAGAGAAAAAGAAACACCAATGTGAGAAACATCATTTGGTTGCCACCCGTGCACACCCTGACCAGGTTTGAACCCACAACCTTTTGCTGCATGGGACAGTGCTCCAACCAACTGAGCCACTGGCCATGGCGACAGTTCATTTTTTTTAAAAAAAAGTTCTAAGCATGCTAGCATACCCATGTGGTTAATTTGACCAATGGCTGCCAATTTGCAACCTCTCATCTGTCCCTCTCCTTTTAGTTGATTGATTAATTAATTATTTGGCAACCTAACAATTTGTGGCAGACATTAGATTCCAGTAGTGGCTTCCCTTGAAACAGTTTTGAGTATACTGCACATGTGTAGGGTAGTATCAGCCTTAAGCAAAACATTAGTGGACAGAAAAGCTACAGAAACAAACACCGAACAGTTTTTTCTATAAATAGACTAAGACATTTTGGGTTTTCAGATATTTTAGAATAATCCTGTCACTGCTGGTGCACCTCTTCCCAGTGCCTGACCCAGGAGGCCCTCTCCTGGGAGATCCAAGTTGCTCCCTTCTTCCAGGCTCACTTTAATTGTGCCCCCTTCTAAATAATTTCATTTCCTAGGGCTTGCCCTCACTGAATTTCTGCCTCCAGTAGGTCTATTAATATTCTCGGTGGGTTTCCTTTCCCACGGCTCTCTGGGAGCTGCCTCGGGGCTGCTGCAAAGTCGTGCATGCTTTCTCGCATGCTAGGTGACTTGAAGTGGCAGGGTGGGGGTGGATGTGAGCAAAGGCAGGCCAGGGTTGCTGGGATGCACCGGGGCACGGACTGGTTTCTTCCATGCCTGCTGATTCACTTCGGAGGCATGTGACCGTCTCTTGGACTGGCCCAACAGCCACATTCACGGAAACACTAGTAAGTGGATGTGGTTGGGGCTTTCTCCTTGCCCCTCCTTGGGTCTCTTCCCAGCCCAGAGATGGTGGTGGCTTCAGAGCAGGGTCTCCCTGCCTGAGCATGGCAGGGATCACTCCTCTCCCGCCCGCGGCCCAGTGTCTGGTGCTTTTCCATTCTCTCTGGAGCCTTTCCTGAGCCTGTGGCTATGTTAGCACAAGTCCGCTGGGCAGCTGCCAGGACAGGCCTGCCAGGGAGTCCTTTGACTCCTGTTGGCTTCCCAGGGGCTGCTGGTGGGGCTGAACACTGTGGGATTAGGCTCCCTAGAATCGCTTGGGAGCCAGGCAGCGGCCATGAAAAAGCTCGCTTTTCCACTTGGGTGTGCGTCTCTAGGCACTTGTGGAGTGGGGAACCGGGGCAATGTGGCATACTCAAAACAAAGTGGGACCCGGAGTCTGACCGACCTGGGTTGTGAGTGCTGCCGCAACAACCAGCTGATTGACTGTGGGCAAGTCACGTGGCCTTTCTGAACCGTGGTGTCCTCATCTGTAAGTAGGGATAACAAGGCCTAGTCTCGCTCGGTGGCGTGAGGAGAAGGTAACGTGCGAAGTTCCTCAGAGTCCACGGCCACCAGTAGGTGCTCAGTGT